TATGTGTGTGCCCGCTTTGCGTGGCCGCCGCCTCTCAACCGCACCCGCCGCCGCCGCCGTACCCCCTGCCACTCCTCAAGGCTTCCTTTCCTCCCTTCGGCTCCCAGTACTGCCCTACGCCCCTGACTGCCAGGCAGTCCCCCGGAGGTTCATCCGCCTCCAGCGGCAGCCACGCACCCGCCCTCTACCAGAGTGCCTATCCGCTGCCCGACCCCCGACACTTCCACTGCATCTCCGTGGGTGAGTAGCCTGGGGCACGGGCGGGCTGGGGCGCGACTGATGACCGGGCCACGCCTCACTCGAAGCGTTTCAGCAAGGAGGGCCAAGACCGACCCTCGCTCTCTGGTGGCTGGGAAGGGCGTTTTTCACTCATCTAAATGGAACAGGCGCTTGGTTTGGTAGTAGGGTGCAGGGGGTTCCTTCAATACACTTCCAAAGAAAAGTTAATTTAGGAGTAATAAATGCATTAGGAATGGGGTTGTTTCTATGGGAGGGAGGGGCGCGGGAGCGGGACAAAACCGGCCAGAAGCTCCCTTCTGTCCAACCTTTGGAAAGCAGAGTTCTCAGAGAAAGTTGTGGGAGCCCCGGCTGACTTTCTCTGGGTTTGGAAGAGGGGCGAGACTGGTTAGTATTTGATCACCGGGAATTCCAGGGCTGCAGGCTAGAATTAAAAGTCTGAAAGCACCCCGGAAAAAGGAAGTGGCCCGTCACTCCTGTACCGTTGCGCCAAAAACCTGGACGTGTCCATGAAGTCTCGACTCGAACTCGACTCGACTCGAAGGAGCCTTTGCCGTTCCCTAGAGAAAACTCAGCAGAAGGCTGGGGTACTTTGACGCCCCCGGGCCGAAGTCCACAGCTCTCGCAGTCAATGGGATTAGAGTGATGGGCTGCCGAATTGGCTTGCACACCTAAGCGGCGGTCAAGTCTTAGAAACAAAGTCCAGACTGCGGAAGAAAGAGGTGAATCGAAGCAGAGGTGCTGAGAATCGGGGGAGCTGCCAGAGAATGGCACCCGGCGCCTGAGCTGCTGAGGATTAGCTCAGATCTGCTGTCTTCCACGGGCTGCTTTTGGAGCGGGGAGGATTCTAAACTTGCCGCCTTCCAGCCCGCTGTCCTGAGAGGCAGTTTTGCACAACCTCTAGCGAGCTCAGTGGTTTGGTCTGTCATTCCAAGCGTCATTCCAAGGAACCCATGCAGGTTGCTGGTAGTCAACCTGCCTTAAGCCTTCCTCCCCCCCCCCCCCCCCCCCCCCCCCCCC